AGACAGGGAGACAGAGGGAGAGACAGGGGGGAGAGACAGAGAATACGACAGAAATAATATCCGCGTGCAGTTCTCAAAATTGAGAACCAGTGCTTAAATGTCTGCCATTCCATTTTAAGATCCGCTTTATTATTAGAGCGAGATAGCGCTTGTCTAATAGAAACGTACAGCGCGTCTATTTTTAGTTCTGGCACGTAGGCGCGCCCTGGTAGGGGAAAGGGTTAATGCAAATAGGATCTGACATTACTGTTACGTCAATTGTCACGATTGATTATCCTATACTTTACGCAATGACCTTTATTTGTTAGCTTTGTAACCGGTGTAAGCGCGCGTATATTTTATCTACGTTTTTTTTATCGCATGCTTATAATTTTACACGTATATGCGGACAGGCTATAAAAAGTTAATTGCAACTTGAGGCTAATAAATAGGCGCGCGTTCTCCTTTTTTAAACGTTTCCCCGTATAGCGGCTTACCGTTCGCGGAGACAATGTCAGTTTTATTGTCACTTCGGGCCTCGATAATGTTTTTAATAGCTGCGGCAAATAAATAACCGCTGCGATTTGCATAGCGCGCCGCGTTTCTCTCTATTTATATGTATGTGTATCGTGTACGGCTCCCTCGCGCGCGCACGTGTTACCCCTTCAAAAACCAGGAAGAGGAAGCTCATCTCTTCGCGCGATCGATACGCAAAACTCTTTACTTTAATCACTTTAAGGTCGGGAAAATGTCACGTCAAGGGGAAAGACCTTTCACTTTTATCTTATACCTACGTATACATGTGTGTTAATGTGTGCGTGCATACACCACCCTCGTGCTCAGCTCGCGATACAGTTTGCCGTTTAACCTTTAATCGAGTAATGCGGGAATTAAGCGGTACTTAACACTCCACTGGTTAGGAAAATAAGTCGCAATAACAAGGTTAACTTATCGTTTTGCTCGCAGGGCAGACTACAGACTCGTGGCGGGCTACTCGAAGCTACCGCGCGAGGATTCGATAAAACAAGATCCACTTCTTCCATTTTCGGCTCCGGTGCGTCCATTAATGTTACTTTAACCGCCGCACAGAATTAAGTATAATCGTAGGCGGGGGAATAAATAGCATAATGGAGAATAAAAGCGATACGGGCAGGACGAAAAAAAAATTCCGATACTAATCCTACGAAATGTATCAACGATATGCAGAGGAAATTACCTCCATTATTCCAAGCGACGTAAATAATGCAAAAATTGCTTTTCATACGCTCTGTTCCGCCGATGTTGGGCGATAGAAGTAGTCCCTAGGAGCATAATACATATATTGACGCCATATTGGAAAATAATGTAAACCTAGTATTCCCAATATTGGCCCAATATTGTAAGATTGACGCCTTCTCTTACTTAGCCAATGTCTATTTAGTAATACTGGTCTAATATTGTATCAATGAGTGCGTTTCGGCAAGACGCTGCTACTATAGCGCTACGTTAGCGCTACACGAGTGCGTTTCGGCATAACTTTCCGCTACAACTGTAGCGGTCGCCGTTTTTCATAATTGATCAAGGATTGCTAGGAACAATATGTCATTCACGAGCCAATCTTCAATAGTTTCCATTCTATTCGTTTCAATTAATTGGTAAACGCGACTCTAACAATTAAAATACAATTTTGTGGTTATGCACACTAACAATTAAAACACAATTTTGAGGTTATGCACGCTAATGTAGGTATGGCGCCGCTACAATTGCAGCAAAAAAGCTGTAGCGCTACGGTAGCAGTGTCTTGCCGGTACGCACTCGATATTCTTATTAAATTGGTAAATATTGGCCGATGCACAATACAAATCTAATATTATATAATTATCGTGCAATATTTACATTTACTCCACAGCCAATATTGGCTTTACGTTGGACAATATCGGCCAATGCATTTCTAATATAATCAACATTGGACCAATGTAGCCAATGTTTAGCAAATGCACTGTGCTAGGAGGGGTGGGGTTAATTCCCACACCGTAGTGAAAATGCTAAAAGTCCAAGAGCTGTAAAGGCCTGTGTCCACGACGCTAGAACTTGGTCTAAGTTCTGGTTTCGAGAAATGTGTAGCCATTTACCCTGCAGCTTTTATGAAATAGCTACAAGTTGATAGGCTACACATCTCTCGAAACTAGAATTTGGACCAAGTTCTAGCATCGCGGACACATACCTTAACTGTCCCCTTAGAAAGAGACAAAGCCGCTCACTTTTAGCATTTTCACTATGCATTTCCACGCCGCAAGATACAGAATTGACCCCCAGGTTCTTCCCGTTGTTCTTTCGCGTCTTATAAATGCCCATCGTCCGGTGCAATTGTAAAGTGGATGCCATGTATAACGGGCTCAGCTACGCGAGACGACGCGAATTTTTGAAAGATAAAACATCGCGGCTGGAATGGTGGCGCTATATAGCAAATAGGATCTCCCCTCTTGCGTAATCTCCGAAGCGAATTTATGCACGCGCATAAATATTAATGCAATATTTAGCGTTACGCGCGAGCGTAGGCGGTGTCATTGTTGCGGGCGCCCTTTGTAAAGTTGGATCGGTCGGAACAAAAGGGGAAGTCTAGAATGAAGTCTAGAATGTCTGACGATTCGCGCCGAAATAATTTAACAGCCCCGGCACGGTCGTGCCAGGAAAATGTACGTTTTTCTGCGATAAACAGCTGGGAACGGAGCGACAAGTTCGAGCTGGGCGGCTGCGCCGGGCTGGCGAAACGACTCTTTATCGATCGGCGGATTTATCTGTAAAACTTTAAATTTTGTATCGCCAATCAAACCGTATTATCGGGATAATCTTTCGCGGTCGATAGTTTCGTACCGCGTCGACTGGCGCCGTGATTGGCGAATTGTGGCTTTTTAAAAGACAGATTTATCCGTGACAAATATAAATTTACGGAAGCGCGCCAACGTCAGCGCGGTAAATGCCGATATGACAAAAAGCGATAATACGATTTTCTTCCGGCGTAAATCGAAAAATATATGTTTTCGGGTAATACGAAAATACATTGCGAATAAATAGAATTAAAAATTCCCAGTGTGCACGGTGTCGCGTTCAATGCGAAGGCGAAATATAAATATAAATTAAAACATATTGTTCCGGAGACACAAATCGTATCAGCCTCCAATTAGATAAATATCCATTGTTCGCGATAAATTGCTCTTTTAACGAAATGTCCCTGCCTTTTATTTCGTTGCGTAATAGTTCCCGTAATTGGCGGCAACGCAAATAGAAACGTTCAAAAGATGCGAAGGAGCACAACGGGCGGGGACCGTTTAACGCTAAATGATTCGGCCGAGGAATAAAATATCAAAAGTGCAAAGAGCTAATGGGATTATTTATTTTCCAATTAATCGCGCGTAGTCTTTTCGTCTTGGCGAAAGTTCCGTCTGGAATCCAATTTGCGATGTTGAAGGCGGAAGACAAATGCCGCGAATTAACTTTTAGCCCGGGAAGCACGTCGACTTGAAATTGTTCGACAAATGAAATGTTGTAACCAATTTGCTATTATTTATTTGCCCCGACACTACTTGTGGAAAAACGCGAATTGCGCGGGGGGAAAACTTTGGAAAAACGTCAAGTCACGTCGCAATTTGTTGCTTCAACCTGCGCGTAAGACGCGCTGTCGCTATCCTAAGAAACGGAACCTTAATATACCCGGTTAAAGCTCGGGAACTGCGCGGGGCAATATGCATCCAGCGGAAAACACCCGGCGCGCACCCCGCGATACACCGGTACACGCGCGTATGTATGTAAAGCAACCTGGTGAGAAGGTGGAATATTAATGGGTGCGAGAGCGGAAGGCACCGGAACGCGTTTTCGTTTCGCAGAAGTACGCGGAAATGGAACTGAATCTGCAATCTGAATCTAATCCGACAAATAACCATTTTTTTTACGATCGTTTGAAAAACATACTCGCGGAGGAATTCGCCCCTGTGTTCGCCGACGTCCCGAATTAACCCTTTGAAGCATACATTTTTCTATTGAACCATTTTTTTTGTGAAACTTTCTATACAAGGATTTTTGGGCTCGCTGATTACGAATCCGTTATCAGATTTTTATAATTCAAAATGGCGGATTCGAGATGGCGGAATTCAGAACTTGAAAGAATAACATCATTCAACTGTAACTCAGCTTTGCTAGAAGAACATTATTTAGATATCATTAGGACCCATGGAATCTAGATTCCAGTTGAAGATCCTTATAGAATATAAAAAATAGCGCGCGCGACATGGCGAATGCAAAATTGAAATTTGATCATTTCCTAGAATTTACTCATTCTTGGCACTACCCAGAAGCTAACGACGCGGACGTGAGTCCCTAAACACTGTAATCAAACGAAAATGCTGAAAAACTTGAAAACTTAAAAAATTCACGTACTTTGCATCCGCCATTTTGGGTCGGTCGATTTGAAGTTTAAAAATCTGACGTACAAAGTTTTCAAGAAATAATCTTAAAAAACTTGGTCAATGGTCTTTTACAATAAATATTAAAGACTACTCAACTTTTTTTATGTTCTTTTATTGCTAAGATATCCAAAAAATGCCAAAAACCCGACCTAAATGCGTTAACTAGAAATTAAATGGCCAAAATGTAAGGAAGTTGAGTTGGTAACGTGGGTTACCACCATGCTTCAAAGGGTTAACGCGCGACGACTCGCCCTGGAGGGGGTGGGATTAAAATTGTTTAGCGGAGAATATCATCTTGACATTAGCTCGCATTAACAATTATATAACCCTAAGCTTAGTGACGAGATAATATCGAAAATCGATGTATTGAAGGCGAGAGCCTGATATTATCCGGAACGATATTTACCACGGGAGTATTTTGATATTCGACGATTAAAATAGCTGACATTTTTCTTGACGAGTCGTTTATCGCTCGAGACGGAGGGACATTCAGCGATTCTGGGACACCGGCGATACTCGAACGGTTTTTCTACATTTTCGAAGGAACAGCACAGCGATCGATGCGGGCGCTTTACGTACCTATGTCCATCAAATGGACCTCACCAAGATGCCGCGCGGCGTAAAGATGTAGCGCTCCGAAGGCAAGCTGCATCCCGGTAGTGAGCAACAGGGCGAGAAAACCGGCGGCGCAGACCAGCCAGCCCCAGCCACCCTCCGGATAGAAATGCGTCCGCATACCGGCGACGTCGATCCCTGATAGAAAAGATTATCCTCTTTATAATTCAGAGATAAATCGCGGAATCGCGTCCGTTATACTCCCGATAATGGAATATCTCGCGGCAAGGACGGATTTAGCATCTTGCGCTCTCGATAGGAGATTTCTGACGTGTGAACGGAGAGCTTGCAAAGTAACTTGGTTTCGTGACTTACGATGTAGATCTGCTAAAAACAAACTCTATTCTATTTACATCGAGCACTTTCCACATCTATTTAGATTCAATTCTATTCTATTTATCATTTAAAAGACACAACTTTAAAATTGCCATCAATCACAATGTTTAACTTTCAAATTGCCCTCTGTAATTTTTATTATTAAAAATTAATTAAATTTGTGAGCATACGTCATTATCTTGGCTCGTGAGTTGGCCGTTATTTACTCATATAGCTGAAAACGAGCGTTAACTCTGTAAACATTTTTCAATCCTTTGTATTAATTTACTAATTTATTAAGCCCACTTTACACGATCTATAATTCGCGGCAGAATTAAAGATAGAATTCTATTTTATAATTTCATACATTAAATTGACATATGTTTGTAGATTAGGTTAGTGTAGGTTATAACATTTACATATGGATGAGGTCCGTTTTCCCTGCCGATTGGACACAAATACTCACAGCAATCAATGCTTAAGATTTTTCATTAGACCAGATACAATTAATCAATCACGCATTTTCATGCACTACACATATTTGATGCATCTTTTCTTTTTACAAATTGGAGCATTATAATATAACGTCAGATTCACATTATACGCTTGTTTATGCATTTTTAGAGTAGCATTTTTCAAATAATTAACTTTCATATCAATTTCCAATCTATTTTATTAATTTCCCGATTTATTAATATTTACTATTGTCACTAATATATTCACATTATACGCTTGTTTATGCATTTTTAGAGTAGCATTTTTCAAATAATTAATTCTCATATCATTTTTCAGTCTATTTTATTAATTTCCCAATTTATTAATATCTGCTGTTTTCACTAATATATTAACGTTACATTGATTTATGTAGCTGAGGATCGTATTTTTCAAATAATGAATTTTAATACTATGCATTAAAAAATTGCGGACAAAGAAAAAGAAGGAACGAGGAATTGCGGATGATACACACATAGTTGCACGTTTATTATTATACACGTCAAATATTCAAATGTATCGCAGAGAAGAGAACGGCCGACGAAGGGAAGATATTACGTACCTGTACGACGAAACGCGGGTACGCAACGATGCAGGCTGCGTTGATCACTCGGGACCCAGGTCGTATTGCCACCTAAGGTCTCATCGGCGTCCACGTAACGCAGACGAGTATCTGAAAGAAATCGCGAATTAATGGTGAGACACGGCCGGTCGCGCAATTACTCAAATACCTCCGCGATTTCTGCCTGACGGGGTGAAATAAGTGCGCGGGAAGCAAGAGCTCTTCTTAAATAGAACCGAGGGGTCGCGGTTCATATTGAAAGGTACCGCCGTTGCGGGGTCGGGAAATTGGTTCGGCGTCGAATTGAAACGCGTAATTCCTGAAATAATTTACCACTATCGAATACCTTCCCGCACAATGAGAGACAGTTGTTTGGTGATTGCGACGACGGTGGATACCCGTGGTTGGGTTGGCAACGGCGACGTTTGCGCGAGATGGGCAAGAAACGAGATGAAAGAAACGTGGAACGAAGGTAGGCAGGTAGGAAGGAAGGAAGCAAAGAGGCGAGGAGAGAGAGAGGTGAGGGTCGGGTAAATGCACTTTTGAAAGAGTTGACGAAGACGGTACGGTAGGTTGAAAAAGGGTGGCGTTGGGCGCGAAGTCAAAGGGCGAGTGACGGGGGAGAGAAGGGGCAAGGGTTGATGATCGCGAAATAGGAGCGGCCCTGAAAAAACGCCTCGCAAAAAAAATCGCGAATTCAGATCGGTCTCTGGTCGCCACTGCCGCGGGAAAAGGTATCTAACTGAATTATAGGTAACGCGCGCAGTTGCGCTGTACACGTGACTCGCGCCGAATACCAACTTTTCCATTAGCGGCGTTAAATGTTAAACACCTTTGGGGTGTATTCCGCGTCGCTATGCGTATCGCCCTGAAAATCGAATTTGAGCGAACTGTCGTTATTTAAATTTGCAGGTCTAGCGGGGCGATTTTCAACGAGTAGTTTTGATTAATTGATTTTCTAGCGCGTTTCGGGGGCTGAAAGATTCATCGTGTTTTTTTCCCCCTTGTCGTCCCCGGGGCTCACAAACGTTAAAATTCATTCTCGCGCTTTCTCGTACCTCGGTTGGAATTTGTTTTCTCTTCGGTGATTGAGAAAGGTGTCTTTGCGCGACTTTACGCCCCGTTACGGGCGGTCGAAACCGAGTTCGCGAATGTCTTGGCTTCGTAATTTCTAATTTATTCGCGTGCGGTTCTCGTATTATATAACAGTTTGACACTAGTTGTAAATTACCGTGCCGCAGTCGTGTCGGCGCGAGTAAAACTGCGTTCGCCAATACAATTCAATGCCGGGCAACTAACATGTCGGTAAGTGGATAAGTTTCTACGCGAGCTATGTTGCGCTTATTAACGTTTAACGTGTAAAACCATTTGGAGGAGATTATTTGCACGGTGCTGCCGTTATCGTCGTCGTTGCCGTTGTCGTTGCCGATAACGAGAGACGTCGCGCATCCGCGTCTCTCGTTAGGCGGGTAAATTAACAGCAAGAATGAGATATTCTTCATTACCCGGTACGTAATGAAAATAAGGCATGAAAGGAGCGCGTAGCGAGGAACGCGCGTTCTAACGCGACAAAAAGGAGAGAGAGAGGGAAAAAAAGGAATGCACGACAGCAGGTATTTTGCCGAAAATGACGTGAGACATAGAAATTGTCGGGGATGGCACCGAGGGCAAAATTGTCGCGGGACGGAGTTACGAGGGTGCTCTCCTCTCTCTTGATTCTGGAAAAGGAGCGGCACGTTCGCAAGAAATTCGCATTTCTTGCGAACGTGCCGCATCCTTAGTGAAATCACGGTCGCATTTTCGCTGAACGATCTAAACGAAATATCTAAAATGCCACCTCGACGAGCATGGAGAATGTGCAATGATTGCAGCAAAAATAAATACGCGGGGGACTGCGATAAAATCTGCTTCGAACGTAAGTAACTTCAGGTTCGTGAATAATTTCTATTTCCGATCAAACCTTGAAAAAGATTTTCGCAAAACCTCCGCTTCGTTGTCGAGGCCGCGAGAGATAACGAGAGATGATTGAACAGTTAATAAAATTCATAAGGCTCCAATGTGAAAACTCAAATACGAGGTAATAAAGGAGTAACCTTTAAGGGGATGCTGGAGTGATT